GCACACGCAGCCTTGAGCCGGGGGCCACCCCGCCAGCCAAGCTGGACACGGCAGCGAGAGGCACAGCGGCGGGTCCCCTCACCCAGACTGTCCACGGTCTCGTCGTCCTTCTTCTTCTCCCCGGACTGCGGAGAAAGGAGAGACAGCTGGACTCAGCGCCCTCCCTCACAGCCCCCGAGAGGCTGGCTTCCTCCCGCCCGTGGGTGCAGTGAGGACAGCGCAGCCTGTCTGTGCCTACGAGAGAGGGGCTCTGCGCAGGTGCCGCATTCCCAGCGGCTTCTCCCTACGGATACAGGCCACAGGAATGGACACCCAGCACAGGGAGAGCTCAGAAACTGCAGCAGGGGGGCAGCTGCATCGGACACTTCCTGATTGCCCAACTGTGCCTGAGATTCTACTGCCTGCGGCACGCACAGCTCCTGTCCCATCTCCCATCTATCAGCCCCAGGGCACAGGATAAACACACAGCCAGGAGCTGCTCCATCTCCTATCCCTGCTCCCGTCTATCAGCCCCAGGGCACAGGATAAACACACAGCCAGGAACTGCTCCGTCTCCTGTCCTTCAGCCCCTGGACACAGGATAAACACACAGCCAGGAACTGCTCCGTCTCCTGTCCTTCAGCCCCTGGACACAGGATAAACACACAGCCAGGAGCTGCTCCGTCTCCTGTCCTTCAGCCCCTGGACACAGGATAAACACACAGCCAGGAGCTGCTCCGTCTCCTATCCCTGCTCCCGTCTATCAGCCCCAGGGCACAGGATAAACACAGCCAGGAGCTGCTCCGTCTCCTGTCCTTCAGCCCCAGGGCTCAGTCCCAGTCTCAATCCCGCGATAAGGGCAGAAGCCAGAAGGAGGGCGCCCCGCCTCACCAGGTAGCGGGAGTACATGTACAGGAAGTAGGCCTTCTGGCTGCGGCAGCCGCGCAGGAAGTAGGCGGCGCGGTCATACTCCTTCAGGTCGAAGTAGGACTTGGCCAGGGCGTAGGTGTCCAGATCCTGGGCGTCCTCCTGCAGAGAGGAGACAGCGATGCTGATGAAACCAGGGACCCGGGGCCACGGACAGAGAGCACGACTGCAGGGGACGCGTCACAGAGAGAGACG